TCAGGCGGTGGCTGAGACGACGGAGACGGCGGAGCGAAGAACAGGCGCGGCTGTGCAGTGACACCAGCACCAGCAGCTCCAGTACCCCCAGCAGCTCCAGCACCTCCAGCAGCTCCAGAACCCTCAGCGCCAGCTCCTCCAGGACCAGCTCCACCAACAGCAGCACCCCCAGAACCGGCACCTCCAGTCCCAGGGTCTCCAGCCTCCGTGTGTCCAGCAGTAGCACCCTCAGGCTCAGCACCTCCAGCCCCAGCAGCTCCAGTACCCCCAGTACGAGCACCTTCGGGACCAGCACCACTCCCAGCTCCAGTGACGTCAGCAGAAGTACCTCCAGCGGCAGAGCCCCGAGCTCCAGAAGCGCGACCCTGACGGCGACCGTACCAGTCGTGCAGCTGCTGTGAGGTGAGAGGCACACGCGGACGAAGGCGGCCACTCCAAGGAGACCGCGTAACAGCAGACTCAGAACCCTCAGCGCCAGCACCCGCAGCAGCTCCAGAACCTCCAGCGCCAGCACCCTCAGCAGTTCCAGAACCTCCAGCTCCAGCGCCACCAGCGCCAGCACCTCCAGCTCCAGCGCCACCAGCGCCAGCACCTCCAGCAGCTCCAGAACCTCCAGCTCCAGCACCCTCAGCAGCTCCAGAACCTCCAGCAGAAACAACTCCAGTAGCAGAGTCACCAGCTCCAGCGCCTCCCGCAGCAGGGCCCCTAGCTCCAGCAGCGCGACCCTGACGGCCAACGTACCACTCAAGCAGCTGCTGTGGGGAGAGAGGGAGTCGACGACGAGAGTGCAGCGGCGAGGCACCAGCGGAGCGACTACGGAGACGGCCGCTCCAGGGAGACTGCTCACCAGACGCCTCAGCGCCCCCAGGTGCAGCACCCCCAGACTCAATACCCCCAGGCTCAGCACCTCCAGTCTCCGCACCCCCAGGCTCAGCACCCCCAGGCTCCGCACCCCCAGGCTCAGCACCCCAAGAAGCAGCACCCCGAGCAGGACCACCCTCAGCAGGACCTCAGTCACCAGTGACCTCAACCAGCACAGTCAAGGGAGGAGGGTCTACCTGAGACACACCTGAAGGAGCAGGACCGGGAGCGGGGAGGGGGTCTACCTGGGGAGCACCTGGAGCGAGGAAGAGCGGCGGGGGAGGGGGAGGGGCAGTGCGGTAGGGGAAGAGACGGTAAAAGGGAACCGACTCGTCGAACGTGACGTCTTGAGAGGGGAAGACACGGCGCGAGGTGGGGTGGTAAAACTGCCAACCAGGCGCGTCAGGGACAAAGCCAAGGAAGACACAGGGAACAGCGCGGGCGGAGAGCTTGTCCGCGGTGGTGTCGCGGACAAAGGCACGAGCACCCCAGACCCGGAAACGCGACGCATCGCCAACCTTCCCCGTCCACAGCAGTGTGGGCGAGGTCTCCGGCAAGGAGACACGGGGCCAGAGGTTGAGCTGATGCGCGGCGTACCGGACCGCAAACGGTCACAGGAAATGGGGGGCAGCCGCATGGATCATGGAGGTACGAGCGACCTCCATGACCAAGCCAATGCGGCGCTCAGCAACCCCATTCTGCTGCGGAGAGGCCGGAAGCGTGAACGTCTGGCGGATGCCGTGCTCCACACAGAAGGCTGCCAAGAGGTCTGAGGAGAACTCACCACCTCTGTCAGAGTGCAGACGCAGGACAGGAAAGTCCGACTGGAACCGCTCGCGGAGCTGGAGACGAACAGCGCGGATCCAGGGGATCAAAACATCAGGGACCTCCCCCTTGCGCTGCAAGGGGAAGACCGTGGTGTAACGCGTGTAGTCGTCAACGACCAGCAGGAAGTACCGCTCGTGGCCCTGTCCACGGACGCGGGCTGGGCCCCACACGTCCAGGTGGAGAGTCTGCAGGGGAGCCTCTGTGGGAGGGAATGAGGAGGAGTGAGGAGCGGCACGCTGCCGCCCCTCGACACAGGGAAGACAGGGAGGAGCAGGCGAGGGTGGGAGGGGAGGGAGAACCCTGGGAAGACCAAAGACAAGGACACGGCGGTGCATGCTACGAAGGCGCTGCACCGAGGGGTGACCAAGGCGGTGGTGCCAAAGGAGGGTCTGGTGCGACAAGGCGCGACACGAGCAGGGGGCCGCTAGCTGACCTGACGCAGACGCAGACGCAGCTACCTGAGGGGACTCAGTGGTCAGTGTGTACAGGCCCGACCTCGGCTGCTGAGTGAAGGTAGCTAGGTGACGACCCGTCTTAGCACACGTGCAGTGTGTCACACGCTCGTAGGCAGGGGTGAACTGGTGAACACCCGCGTCCTGGAGCGCGGAACCCGCCACCAAGTTCGTAGAGAACGAGGGGAGGTAAAGACCCGACAGTGTGCCGGACGGGACAGCAGGACAAGGGAAGACAGTGGTGGAGGTCGCACGGACTGGACCCCCAGAGGGGTCTGCCAGGGAGACTGCAACCGGCCGACTGAGCGGCGTGAGGGTGGTGCTGTCGCGAAAGAAGGAGCGAGAAGCATCGGAGTCAAGTGTGAAGGTGTACAAGGCCTCAGAAGGCGTAGTACCAGAGAGAGCAGACTCACCAGCACCTGGAGCAGCAGCCTCACCAACACCTAGAGCAGGAGACGCACTAGCACCTAGAGCAGCGGCCTCACCAGCACCTAGAGCAGCAGGCTCTATACATGGGTCAGGCGGTACGCACAGGTAACAGGCACAGTCAGCACTAGTAGGAAATGCATACATGGCAGTGAGAATAGCATCCAAGCAGCTCCAGCCAGGTGGGGAGCTCAGCCTCGTCGCCAAACTCGGTACGCCAGGCGTCGCTCAGACGGGCGAAGCAGCGGGACTGTGTGTGACCAGGCGTCCCGCAAGCCTGACCAGCCCGATCACCTGTGCGAATGACGTACGGGCTTCGAACGGTACTCAAAGACCCTCTACTCTGAGCGTACCACTCACGAAGCTGCTGGGGTGTAAGTGTCTCGCGCGGACGCCGCTGCAGCTGCAGCTGGCCACTGCCAGACGCTCCCGACTGACCAGCTACAGGGCGACAGCCACGACGGCTACCGCGACAACCCCAACTAGCATACCACTCACGAAGCTGCTGGGGCGTGAGAGACTCACGCGGACGTCGTTGGAGCTGCATCTGGCCCCCGCCAGTAGCAGCAGTAGCAGTAGTAGCAGTAGCAGCAGCAGTAAGAGCCTAGCATTAGTAACAGAAGGAGCAGCAGTAGCAGCAGTGGCAGCGCAGGCAGGGCAGGCGCGGCAAGCAGGCAGGTAGGCAGGCAGGCAGGCGGCGCGGCAGTGCGCGAACAAGGCAGATGCTCACCAGTGGCGGGAAGGGCAGGCGCACGACGGCGGCGACGGCGGGGCCGCGACAGCTGCTGCAGGGCGGGGCCGTGACAGCTGCAGGGCGGGGCCGCAACGGCGGCAGAAGGCTCCGCGGCAGCTGCTGCAGGGCGGGGCCGCGACCGCGGCAGGAGGCTCCGCAGCAGCTGCTGCAGGGCAGGGCCGCGATCGCGGCAGGAGGCTCCGCGACAGCTGCTGCAGGGCAGGGCCGCGACGGCGGCAGAAGGCTCCGCGGCAGCTGCTGCAGGGCAGGGCCGCGACAGTGGCAGGGCGCTCCGTGGCAGCTGCTGCAGGAGCGACGTTGGCAGTCAGGCAGGGGCGGCGTCCAGGGGCAGCCGCGACGAACAGGGGCAACCGCGGCGCGCGAGGCTGCAGCGCGCTGCGCGAGCTGCGGGCGCGGCGCGCGGGGCTGCAGCGCGACGCGCGGGCAGCGAACGCGACGCGCGGGGCTGCAGCGCGACGCGCGGGCAGTGGGCGCGACGCGCAGGGCTGCAGCGCGATGCGCGGGCCGCGGACGCGACGCGCGGGGCTGCAGCGCGACGCGCGGGCAGTGGGCGCGACGCGCGGGGCGGCGACCTGGCCTAACGGGCCTGCAGGGGCGGCTCGCGGGCCTGACGGGCCTGCAGGGGCAGCTCGCGGGCCTGACGGACCTGCAGGGGCGGCTCGTGGGCTTGATGGGCCTGCAGGGGCGGCGCGCGGGCCTTACAGGCCTGCAGGGGCGGCGCGCTGGCCTAGGGCAGCAGTAGGCAGCGCGAGGGCTGCAGGACGGCGCGCGCAGCGCAGCACGTCACAAGGCAAGGCAGGCAGGACAACACGTGGGGTAGCGCGGTAACTGCAACGGTAGGTGGGCCCGAAAAAAAAAACGGTCCTACGGACCTAGTGCTCTGAAACCATGTTAGAATCTAGCAGCAGGAATGAATCAACTATGAAAGAGTTGGGTACAAATATGAAACCCTAAAAGGGGTTGTACCCCATATTGGCTACCCCACTACAGCCTAAACATATATAGCAGATATATCATTTGACATTCCGCCCTCTCCTCCGTCGCTCGTCGCCATCTCCACTGCTCTCCTCCTCCTGAGCTCCTGCTCTTCCCGCTCGCCTCCAGAGCCGGCCAGGTGGCCCCCTGGAGCCTTCTGGTTGGGGCATCTAACAAAGCTATTTGGAACGCACGCTGTGAGATGCGCCCTCACCAAATATGTTCACGCTGTAGACCATATTTGGTAGACCATATTTCTAGCTGCTCTATGTTTTTTGCTGTACACGGTTACGACCTTATATAACCTTAACCTGATTACTGGAAGGCCAGGCAGAGGGAAGGGAGTGGAGGGAGGGTGTGTGACTAGTGGCATGACGAGGGCAACTATCAACCATAAGCAGGTAGCATACCCAAACAGGCAATACTAGTTGTGGCTGACTTGACAGCGGTTACAGGTAGTCTTGCCATGCCACATCATTGCGCAGTGGCTACCGTACACCGTCATTTTGCATCATCCGCAGCAGGCGTTTACCCTTGTTGCACTAGAAATGAACCCTGCACCATTCGTGCTTTGACTCTTCTCTTCACCAATTCGTAGTCTTGACAGTCCGTGGTCAGGCCCTTTTCTGTAGCATTGTCCGCCCGTACTCAGCCTTACTCTGTAGACAGTTCCTGCGATTTCAGATGCCCGTCGCAACGGCCTGATGGATTCTCGAGGACTCAGTGGGCGACGCGGCGTGGGTGGGTCGCCACATGCCGCCAACGCGTCGCAGTCGACGGCTCTGCGACCCAGCAGCGGGTCTCCTGCGAGGTCCGCTTCGCCCTCCAGAAGCGGCGTCAGCAGCGCAATTCCCGGAGCCAGCTTAGTCACGTCGTCCACGTCAGCGTCCGGCGATCCGCGGAGGGGCGGAGGCGGCGGAGGCGGAAGCGGAAGCTCCTCCCCCGTCCTCCGCCACGCGGCGCGCGGGCCTTCGTTTAAGTCACAGCAGCCGCGCCGCGATTCGCGCCGCAATCCTCTCCTGCAATTCGGCCTCCAGTGCCTGACAACTTCCGCCGCCATTCTCCTCTTCGCGTTACTGTTCACAGCCGACGCGATCATATCTACGATTTTATCCTCCCCCAGATCTACCTCCCCCGGCTCGTCCTCCCTCTCCGTCGTCTCCGATCCCTTCGGCTCTGTCCACGTGGCAGTAGGCGACGGGTCAGGCACGAGGCGACGAGCCGCGGAGTACGAAAAAGAGGCCTATCAGAACCTCCCCGCCTCTGGCGGCGGAAAAGGCGGGAACGGGGAAGGCGGCTCTGTGCGGGGAGGCGCGGAGAAGCAGGCGGGGAGCGCAAGGGGCGGAGTGGCGGAGGCGGGCGGCCGCGCGGAGGTGCGGTGGCGCGCGGAGAGGCTGCGCGTGCAGTGGTCGGGTCCGCCCATGGGGGAGGAGGTGCAGCAGCGCGTGGCTGCCGCGACGGCCGTGGTGGCGGATGAGCGCAAGAGGCTCAACGCACAGCCGTTCCAGCTGCACATTCTGGTGAGTGGTTGAGGGGGGGGTTGAACTGAGTGTTTTTGTGAGTGGTTGAAAGAGGTTCAGGTGCACGTTGTGGTGAGATGAGGCCGGTTCAATCAGCCTTACGTTGTGGTGGTGGCAGATGAGCGCACGAGACTCAACGCTCAGCCGTTGCAGCTGCACATTCTGGTGAGTGCTCGTGTTTGAGCGAAATGTGGCACTCGTGTGCTGGTGGAGTTTCCGTTGCAATCCCTTCCCCTGCCAAAACCCCTCCCCCCTTCTTTTCCCCTCCTCCATCCCCATTTCTCCTCCCCCCTCCCTCTTCCTCGCATTACCCGTTCCCATTCCCCCTTCGCCTCGTCCCCCATTGACAGGTGAGGGCGGAGTGTGGCAAGGGGCTGAAGGCGCTGCTACAGTCACTGCAGGACGTGAAATACGGAGAGGACGAGGTGCAGCTGACCGTTGCTACCACATGCAGCGCTGCTGCTAGAAGCGCTCAGGTGAGGGATTTTCTGAAGGAGTCACATGTGAGAATCACCTTGCAGTCACATCACTGCAGGACGTGTGAAGTATGGCGAGAACGAGGTGCAGCTGACCGTAACCACCACGTGCAGTGCTGCTGCACGGAGTGCCCAGGTGATGAAGAGAGGGTTACAGATGTCACATGATACACTCACCTGCTGCAGTCATTGCACGATGTGAAGTATGGCGAGGAGGACGAGGTGCAGCTGAGCGTTTCCACAACCTGCAGTGTTGCTGCCAGGAGTGCACAGGTGAGGAAGAGGGATAGAGGTGATAACTTGGAAGTGGTTTTGTGGGACGTAGGGCGAGGACGAGGACGAGGTGGAGTGGAGCTCACCGTTATCAGGATCACCATCACCTGTAGTGTTTCTGCGAGAACTGCTCAGCTGATGGCTATCCTGATGTAGTCACATGATAAAACAAAGAGACATGCGCCAGGCAGGCACTGGAGGACATGAATGAAAGTATGGCACACAAGGACGCGAGGAGAGGACGAGGTGCAGCTCACCGTGGCGAGGCGACCACCTGCAGTGCCTTTTGAGTCGACTCAAAAGTCACCTCGCCAGGCACTGGAGCCTGGAGGACATGAATGAAAGTATGGCACACAAGGACGCGAGGACGAGGTGCAGTGCAGCTCACGGTGGCGAGGTGACCACCTGCAGTGCTGCTGCCCAGAGTGCTCAGGCGAGGAAGAGCGATGGAGGTGCGAACGTAGAAACAGGGGGGAGGTTTCGTGGGAAGTATGGCGAGGAGGACCCCCGTTCCCACCTCCTCCCTTTTCCCCTCCTCCCCCTCTCCCCTCCGCCTCTTCCCCCTTTAACCCCCCAGGAGTTCCCCTGGTGCCACGTGCCGAGGGGCATAATCGAGCTATCAGGCAACAGCGCCAAGCCCACCAACCCCCTCCCCCTCCGGTTCCCCGCCTCCCCTCGCAAGTTCCTCCTCCTCCTCGACCCCTCCTCCCGCGTCTCCCCGTGCTTAAAGCCCTGGCCCTCGCCCCTGCTGCTGCCGTCAACCCTCAGCCATATATTGAAACCTTCCCGTCCCTGTCTTTTCCCCATACGCCTCCCACCTCCCCCCTCCCCCTCCCTCGCCCTTCCAGGAGTTCCCCTGGTTCCACGGCCCAAGGCGCGTAATCGAGCTATCAGGCAACAGCGCCAAGCCCACCGACCCGCTGCCCCTCTGGTTCCCCGCCTCCCCTCGCGAGTTCCTCCTCCTCCTCGACCCCTCCTCCCGCGTCTCCCCCGGCCTCTACCCCGTGCTTAAAGCCCTGGCGCTCGCCCCTGCTGCTGCTGGTAACCCTGCCGCTTTCACTGTCGAGGCGAGCGTTGGGGGGTTTTATGGGGGCTATGGGGGCGAGGGTGTGGGGGATGGAGCAGGGGAGAAGGGAGGAGGGGAGAGAAGCAGCAGCAGCAGCAGCGGTGGTGGTGGGGACAGTAGCGGAGGGGATAGTAACGGAAGTGATAGTAACGGAAGTGACAGTAGCGAGGAGGAGAGCACGGGTGCGCATGTGTCAGGGCTGTTTGGGATCGCTCTAGACCCGGACTCACCCTTCCTGGCAGAAGACTCGCCAATCATGACGGGCTTTAAGCGCCCAGAAGAAACCCTAATAGGGGGAGCAGCATCAGGAGCAGGCGCAGCAGCAGGAGGAGCAGGACGGGCAGCAGGAAGGGCAGCAGCAGGAGGGGCAGGGGGAGAAGCACCGGGAGTGGGGGTGTTGTCGTTGGCCATGGCTCGCTCGTGCCAGGTGGTGTTTCCGCAGCCGTGGCGGCAGTTCTGGGCGTGGCATGCGCTGTCGCAGGCCCAGCAGGTCAACTCTGCCCACCTCAAGTTCGACTGGGATGCCTACGACTTCAGCGCCCCCTGCCGGGAAGGTGAGATGGGGGAAGGTGTCTGCTTGGGCAGTTCTGGGCGTGGCACGCGCTGTCGCAGCCCCAGCAGGTCAACAGCGCTCATCTCAAGTTCGACTGGGACGCCTACGACTTCAGCGCTCCGTGCAGGGATGGTGAGCCCATTCTCCGCGCTCCCCCTCGGGTATCATTGCTCTTAAGTCAACTGGGGGGACATCTCACCACCTCAGCCCCAGCAGGTCAACTCTGCTCATCTCAAGTTCGACTGGGACGCCTACGACTTCAGCGCTCCGTGCAGGGATGGTGAGCCTATTCTCCCCGCTCCCCCTCGGGTATCATTGCTCTTAAGTCAACTGGGGGGACATCTCACCACCTCAGCCCCAGCAGGTCAACTCTGCTCATCTCAAGTTCGACTGGGACGCCTATGACTTGAGCGCGCCCTGCCGGGATGGTGACATGGGGGGAGTCTGGGGAGGGGTCTGGTCTAGGAAGGGTAAGAGCGCTGTTGACGTGACGCTGTCTCAGGCCCAGCAGGTCAACTCCGCCCATCTCAAGTTCGACTGGGACGCCTATGACTTGAGCGCGCCCTGCCGGGATGGTGACATGGGGGGAGTCTGGGGAGGGGCCTGGTCTAGGAAGGGTAAGAGCGCTGTTGACGTGACGCTGTCTCAGGCCCAGCAGGTCAACTCCGCCCATCTCAAGTTCGACTGGGACGCCTATGACTTGAGCGCGCCCTGCCGGGATGGTGACATGGGGGGAGTCTGGGGAGGGGCCTGGTCTAGGAAGGGTAAGAGCGCTGTTGACGTGACGCTGTCTCAGGCCCAGCAGGTCAACTCCGCCCATCTCAAGTTCGACTGGGACGCCTACGACTTCAGTGCCCCGTGTCGGGAAGGTGAGAGTGGGGGAGGGGCCTGGGCAGGGTAAACGACCTATGGACCTTGCTGCACAGGTCAACTCCGCCCATCTCAAGTTCGACTGGGATGCCTACGACTTCAGCACTCCGTGCAGGGAAGGTGAGACGGGTAGGAGCAGCAGGAGTGGGGGCAGCAAGAGGGGCAGTAGGAGGGGCAGCAGGGGCGGGGGAAATGGGGGGGGAAGCAGGGGTGGGGGTGCTGTCGCTGGCGATGGCTCGTTCGTGCTTGGTGGTGTTTCCACAGCCGTGGCGGCAGTTCTGGGCGTGGCACGCGCTGTCGCAGTCCCAGCAGGTCAACTCCGCCCACCTCAAGTTCGACTGGGAGGCAAGGCAGGGAAGGTGAGACGGTGGGAGGGGTCCAAATCGGTGAGCGAGCTTCCTGACATACGTACGTGGATGAGAGATGCAGGGGTGTGGACGTGCAAGGCAGGGAAGGTGAGAGATGCAGGGGTGTGGACGTGCAAGGCAGGGAAGGTGAGAGATGCAGGGGTGTGGACGTGCAAGGCAGGGAAGGTGAGAGATGCAGGGGTGTGGACGTGCAAGGCAGGGAAGGTGAGAGATGCAGGGGTGTGGACGTGCAAGGCAGGGAAGGTGAGAGATGCAGGGGTGTGGACGTGCAAGGCAGGGAAGGTGAGAGATGCAGGGGTGTGGACGTGCAAGGCAGGGAAGGTGAGAGATGCAGGGGTGTGGACGTGCAAGGCAGGGAAGGTGAGAGATGCAGGGGTGTGGACGTGCAAGGCAGGGAAGGTGAGACGGTGGGAAGGGTCCAAATCGGCGAGTGAGCTTCCTGACATACGTACGTGGATGAGAACGACCTTTGTTTGTAACCTTCTGCTACTCCTGCCGTGCACACTCCCACTTCGTTTCTCGCGTACCAACCAAACACACACACACACTCTCCCTCTCTCCCTGTGTCAACCACCAGATGGGCAAGTCCGCGTGTGATGAGGCGATTTTTGAGTCGACTAAAAAATTCTCCCTCTCTCCCTGTGTCAACCGCCAGATGGGCAAGTCTGCTTCCTGACATACGTGGAAGAGAACGACCTTTGTAACCTTATGCTGCGCACACTCCCTAATTGCCGCACCCCTCCCTTTCCCCACTACCACTCCATCTATCAGATTGGCAAGTCTGCTTCCTGACATACGTGGAAGAGAACGACCTTTACAATCTCATGTGGCTCTCTTTCCCACCTGCCTTCCTCTTCCCCTGCCACTCCCCCCTTCAGACTGGCGAGTGAGCTTCCTAACATACGTGGAGGAAAACGACCTTTACAACCTTATGCTACGCACACTCGATCCTCAAGAGGTGTGTGTATAAGTGTGTGTGTGTGTGTGTGTGTGTGTGTGTGTGTGTGTGTGTGTGTGTGTGTGTGTGTGTGTGTGTGTGTGTGTGTGTGTGTGTGTGTGTGTGTGTGTGTGTGTGTGTGTGTGTGTGTGTGTGTGTGTGTGTGTGTGTGTGTGTGTGTGTGTGTGTGTGTGTGTGTGTGTGTGTGTGTGTGTGTGTGTGTGTGTGTGTGTGTGTGTGTGTGTGTGTGTGTGTGTGTGTGTGTGTGTGTGTGTGTGTGTGTGTGTGTGTGTGTGTGTGTGTGTGTGTGTGTGTGTGTGTGTGTGTGTGTGTGTGTGTGTGTGTGCGCGTGCGCGGGGGGGAGAGGTGAGAATCCTCCCTCCTCAACGCGCGCCCATTTTTTTTCAGGTCGGTTTTGAGAATTCTCACCTCTCCCCCTCAAAAACCCAAGCAACGCATCCTTTCCACCCACCTCTCCCCCACATATTTTCCTTCTCCCATCATCATCCCACCTTCCCCTCAATAATCCCACCCATCTTCCCATCATCCCACCCTTGTTTCCATCCTCCCCTCCCTCCCACCCTACTCCCCTACAAGCCTTTCCATGCGTCTCTTCTCTGCTTCTTCCCACCTCCCACCCATTTCCATCCTTTTCCATGCATCTCTGCTTCTCGACCGATTCCCAACCCCCTCTCGCCTACCCAACCACTTCCCCATCCCTCACATGCTCATCATCACATCCTCCTCCCCTCTCATCTCCACCCATAACCTATCCTCCTTCCATGCTTCCCATGTTTCAACCCCTACAGGACCTGAACAGCCCCACACAGCTCTGCTGCTCCATCGACTCCCAATCCCCCTCTCGCCTACCCACCCCCGCCCCGTCCCTCCTCCCGTTCCTCATCACCCATCCTTCCCCCATTTGAACCCTTTGCAACCGTCCTCCCTACAGGACCCGAGCAGCCCCACACGTCTCTGCTACTCCATCGACTCCCAACCGTCTTTTGAGGTGCCTCTAAAGTCGCCTTATATGCATCCCCCGTTTCCACCCTTACAGGACCTGAACAGCCCCACACGTCTCTGCTACTCCATCGACTCCCAACCGTCTTTTGAGGCGCCTCTAAAGTCGCCTTATATGCGTCCCACGTTTCCACCCTTACAGGACCTGAACAGCCCCACACGTCTCTGCTACTCCATCGACTCCCAACCGTCTTTTGAGGCGCCTCTAAAGTCGCCTTATATGCGTCCCACGTTTCCACCCTTACAGGACCTGAACAGCCCCACACGTCTCTGCTACTCCATCGACTCCCAACCGTCTTTTGAGGCGCCTCTAAAGTCGCCTTATATGCGTCCCACGTTTCCACCCTTACAGGACCTGAACAGCCCCACACGTCTCTGCTACTCCATCGACTCCCAACCGTCTTTTGAGGCGCCTCTAAAGTCGCCTTATATGCGTCCCACGTTTCCACCCTTACAGGACCTGAACAGCCCCACACGTCTCTGCTACTCCATCGACTCCCAACCGTCTTTTGAGGCGCCTCTAAAGTCGCCTTATATGCGTCCCACGTTTCCACCCTTACAGGACCTGAACAGCCCCACACGTCTCTGCTACTCCATCGACTCCCAACCGTCTTTTGAGGCGCCTCTAAAGTCGCCTTATATGCGTCCCACGTTTCCACCCTTACAGGACCTGAACAGCCCCACACGTCTCTGCTACTCCATCGACTCCCAACCCCCTCTCGCCTACCCGACAGCCACCCCCACCCTCCTCCCGCTCCCCTCCGCGCTCCGCCTCTCCTCCTCCCTCTCCCTCCACCTCACCACCTCCCCGCGCTCCCTTGCCCCACTGCCCCGAGTGGACCATTGTGGGAGGGAGGTGCCGCGGGGGGAGGTGGCGTGGAGTGCGGGTGAGCTGAGAGGGCTGCTGCAGCGCATAGCGCGGCACTCTGCTGTGGCGGGAGTCATGGTGTCGCCGGGCTATGATGACATGCTCAACAACTGGGTGTGCTACGTCAAGGTGGGTTGGAATGTTAGGCCAAGGTGGGACTGTTAGGCCAAGGTGGGTTTGGGTTTGGCACCGAAGCAAGCCTGGGTTCCAAAAAACGGAGGCGGCGGCCCCGCAAAAGGGCCGCCAAAGAAGAAGTAACGGCGCGGGATCTCGCGTTTCGTTGGTTCGGCCGCTTGACTTCACGCCAAGCCATGTCGCGGGTCCGAAACAACGGGGTGCATAACCTGAGTGCTAAGGTTTTAACGACCGATGAGCGACGAGCACTCGGGATGGGACTGAAATTCGTGCCAACGCCTACCAGGAGCCCTTCCATCGAAGCAGATCTCGATCAACTGCATCGACGGATTTCTCTGCATTTTTTCTTCAAGGATAAAGGGGATTCATCTGAGATGTCACGCTTTCGTGTGCGCAACCCAGATTGGAAACCCGATCGGGAAGTTGTCCTGGAGTCGGTGTTCAGGGAGGCCCACAACGACCTCTCTTACCTTCTGAAAGCGACGACGCCACGGCGGGGTTTCAACATCTCGTCAGGAATTCGTAAGGCGTTGCGCTCCCTCGCCGCCGACCGCAGCATCGTCATCAAACCTGCAGACAAAAACGTTGGCGTTACTATCCTCGATCGGCAGGACTACATCGACTTGTGTATGGAACATCTCGGGGATGCGGAAGTGTACCGGCCGATTGAACGCGATCCGACGCCACGGGTTCTGCAGCAGCTGCGGGAGTTGAAGGTGACGTGGGGACCGGCTTTTCCAGACAGTCTCTAGAAATATTTCTTCAAGGAACCACCCGGGGGATGGCGGCCAGCTGCGTTCTACGCCTTGCCTAAGCTTCACAAGAAAGTACCTGTGGGGCGACCGATCGCTGCCTCACACTCATGGGTCACGACTAACGTGAGCAAGTGGCTTGACGCTGAACTTCGCCCGCTGGTTTTGAATCGTCCTACGTACCTCCGGGATTCTCTCTCTTTGCTGACTACGCTCGAACGCACCACGTTTCCGACGACGGTACTTCTAGCGACGTATGACGTAGCCGCTCTCTACCCCAGCATTTCGATCGAGCGCGGCCTTGATGCGGTCAGCTGTTTTCTGATGAGGGAGAAACCGTTACTCACCCCACCTCTCATGGCCCTTCTGGGTTGGGTCATGAGGAACTCTTTTGTCGAGTTCGGCGGCCGGATCTTTCACCAACTACGAGGCACCGCCATGGGTACACCTGTAGCAGTCTGCTTCGCGATCCTTTTCATGAGCCGCCTGGATGAGTTACTTAAGGGGAAGTGGACCGGAACGTTACCTCTTTACCATGTACGCTACATCGACGACGGTCTAATCGTGTGGCCGGGGACGCGGGCAGATTTGGAAGCCTACCTGCGCACCTTCAACGAGCTTGATCCGAACATTCGGATCACATGGTCTGTTTCGGATTGCTCCATCGATTTTCTGGACGTGGTTCTCTTCAAGGGACCACGGTTTAAGGAGCAGGGTACTCTGGATTTCGGCACGTTTCAGAAGCCGATGAACAAGTATCTCTATCTTCCCTTTGCTTCCTTCCACCCACAGCATTGCAAGGAATCTTTCATTCGCGCAGAATTGAAGCGGTACCTGCTCCGCTCTACATCAGCTGCGACTTTCCTTGCAACGAAGAAGGCTTTCTTCGGCCGGCTTCGTGACCGTGGTTACCCACCTGCCTTTCTGCACCCAATCTTCCAAGGCGTCACTTTCGCTCACCGTTCGTCACTCCTCGCCACTACCATCACTAACCAGGCGCTCCGGCAACAACCCTCTCTCCCATCCCGTGGACCCCTAGTTTTGAAGACACAGTACACTTCGGTGTCTGCTCGTCTCGGGCTAGGGGTCCTTTTGAGTCGACTCAAAAATCGACTCACTACACGCGGATTATATGTGGAGAGGTCGTTTGTTGCATGGCAAATTGGTTGTAACCTTAACAGGTTACTGGTACGCGCGCGACTTCCACAGTCGCTGCCTGGCGAAGAAGCGAATTCGAACTTCAACGAAGACGCCCCAAGGATTGAAGACGTGGCCTTCTGAGAAGTTTTCGAGGGTGACATGTATTGGTCCCCGTATTTCGGGCTGACCTGGTGTAGACAGTTTTTCTGAGGCTTCGTTTCTTCTTCAAGCGTAGCTTAGCTCTGCTTTTTTCATTAGCACTGATGAAGGCCTGCTAGGGTTGCCCCTTAACGGCCGAAACATGTTTGTTTTACTCTACTGCTGAAGTTCTTGAGCTCGGATTGTTGAGATCTAAGTAATACAGGAGGATTTTTAACTGTCTATCCTTTGCTTTAAGCCCGACTGAGTTTGCTGCTCGCTGAGAATTATGTCTGAAGACCAGTTGCCACCCTGTGCTGGCTGGCTGGTGTGATGGTGTCGCCGGGATATGGCGACATGCTTAACAACAACTGAGTCTGCTACGTCAAGGTGGGTGGGTGGGTCCGTTCGCCGCTGCTGCCACACCAACATGAAGGTGGGTCCAAAACGAGTCCCGTGTGGATGCCTCCCATGTGCACGGGACTCATCGTGCACGGGACTCATCTTGCACGGGACTCATCTAGCGGTGTGCAAGATGAGTCCCGTGTTCCGCTAGAACAGATAGAGCACAGCGCATAGCGTGCAGCACTGCGCTGTGGCTGTCGTCGTGGTGATGGCGTGATGTGACAGTACTCTGTTTCTCCTCCTCCTTAACCCTCTCGCTCTCTGCTTATCAGTGCGTACCTCCCTCTCATCCAGTTTTGGGACGTCTCAAAACGCTCTCTGCTTATCAGTGCGTACTTCCCTCTCATCCCAGTTCTCCCACCTCCCTACAGGAGCTTCAAATCGCAACTTCTTCATAATCACACAGGACGCACCACACACTGCCGCTCTCTCACTGTGTCTTCACCTACCCTCCCTTCCTCACCTCCCTTCCCGCCTACAGGAGCTTCAAATTCGCAACTTCGTTATAGTCACGCAGGACCCAGCACACGCACTCTCTCTCATTATCAGCACTTTCTCCCCTCTCGTCCCAATTATCCCAACCCCCTACAGGAGCTTCAAATCCGCAATTTCTTTATAATCACGCAGGACCCGGCACACGCCTTCTCTCTGAAGCGGAGGGGCTTTGCAGTGTACTGCGCGGGGTGCAGCAAGCCAGGGGCAGGCGGGGGTGTGGGTGGGACAGCAATGGGAGGGACAGGACAGGACGGAACAGGCGTCACTGCTGGTACTGATGCTGCTGCTGCTGCTGCTGCTGCTGCTGGTGCAAACACAGCAGGTGCGGGAGGTGCTGTTGGTGCCGATTCAACAGCAACTGCAGCAGCAGCAGCCGATGGAATTGCTCTAGGAAATACGACTGCTGTTGGGAATGATTCGGCAGCAGCAGCAGGAGGAGAAGGGGCAGCAGCGGCAGCAGCAGAAGCAGCAGCATTGAGCACCAGGCGAGCAGCTTTAGACTACGGCAGTGTACCCTATAAAGAGTTCATTCTCGCGCGCACTAAAGCTGTAGGGGAGATCCTTAAAGCGGGTTACAACGTCCTTCTAGCCGATGCCGACGCTATATGGTTATCAGACCCTTTCACCTCCCTTAAAGCCCAGGGAATCGACGTGCTAGCCCAGCTAGAAGAGAAAGGGAATCCCTGCGGTGGGTTCTTACTCCTGGTTCACACCCGGAAGCTTATCGTGCTCTGGGATTTACTCACCGCTATGTTTGAGCAGCATATCGACTGGCTTAAAACGCATCCCTCTAAACGGGATCCCGACGAGTATAAGCGGTTCCTTCGCTCCCAGCAGCACAACCACGAGCAGAAATTCTTAAACGATTTACTTAGGCAAAAGAGATACGCGGTGCAGCTGCAGGGGCTGGATCCGCTGCTGTTTATCAACGGGCGGGACTACTGGGATCGGAGGAAGGCGCAGAAGGAAGGGGTGACGCCGGTGATGATTCACAACAACTACATCATTTCGAAATGGAACAAGACGAGACGGTTTCTGATCAAGGGCATGTGGCGGGTGGACCATAGAGGTGAGAGGAGTGTGCCAAGTGCCTGCCTGCCTGGCTCTCTTTTGCATGCGACCCCGAGGTTTTGGTACCGCACCAGCAACCCCACACTCCCTGCATCCCTCGCTAATGAAGCCAATCTTTCTCCTCCCATTTTCCCACCACCCACTTCCCAATCCCCACCCTCCAATTCCCACCCCAGGCCAAGCGTGCACGTGTCTAGCTCTCTCCTGCACGCGACCCAAGGACCCCTGGTCACTCACCAACAACCCCACCCTCCCTGCTGCTCTGACCATCCTCAGAGTAATGAGACAACTGACCTCTCTCCCCCCCATCCACCCCCCACCCTCCCCCCTTCCAGGTCAAGCGTGCAAGTGCCTGGCTCTCTCCTGCACGCGACCCAAGGACCCCTGGTCGCTCACCAACAACCCCACCCTCCCTGCTGCTCTGACCATACTCAGAGTGATGAAACAACTGACCTCTCTCCCCCCCATCCACCCCCCACCTCCCCCCTTCCAGGTCGAGCGTGCAAGTGCCTGGCTCTCTCCTGCACGCGTCTCAAAGTCCCCAGGTCCCTCAACAGCATCCCCACCTTCCCTTTTGTGTTGAACCATCTTCTAAGTATTAGAATTGAGCTCACTCTTCCCCATCCATCCCCCCCCGTTCTCCCTCCCAGGCCAAGCGTGCAAGTGCCTGGCTCTATCCTGCACGCGTCCCAAGGACCCTTGGTCGCTCACTAACAACCCCACCCTCCCTGCTGCTCTGAGGGCCACGGCTGGGATCAAGCCGCAATCGCTGCCAAAGCGGAGGCGAGGAGGAGGCAGTAAGCAGAAGAACCAAGCAGGGCCTGTTCCTGTCACAAACTCTTCTTTCACCACTGCTGGTGCTGGTGCTGCTGGTGCTGGTGGTGGTAAGGCTGGTGGTGCAGCTGGTGCTGCTGGGAGGGCAGCAAAGCTAGTGGGGAGCTTGCTGCGAAGCGTGGTTGGGAGTGGGAGGAAGGATGGCGAGACGAAAGGTGATGATCAGAAGAGAGGGGCAGCAAAGGGAGCGGGGTTGAAGGAGGGTGACGCAGCACAGGGAGCAGCAAAACCAGTGGGAAAAGAAGAGCAAGTGGGGAAGAAGATGGAGCTCCAGCAGCAGCAGAAATTGACAGGGAGAGGGACAGGGACAGGGACAGGGAGAGGCGGTACCACGGCTAGAGGCTCTAAGGGCAGTGATTCGGCTGCAGCCGCTGCTGCTGATGCTGCCGCTGATGCCGCAGCTGCTGCTGCTCTCTCTGCTGCTGGCAAGGCGGCACAGGGAAGGGAACCGCTCAAGACAGCACAGGGAAAGGAATCAATGGCAAAGGCTACAATCGGAAAAGGGATGGAGTCGGGGCCGAACAGGGGTAAGGGGGGGACGAGGGCAGCAGCAGCAGAGGCAGCAGCAGCAGAGGCAGCAGCAGCAGGGAAAGTTGGGACAGAAACTGCAGCGGTTGGTGGGAGGGGAGCAGCTAAGGGTGCCAGGGGGAAGGGTGGTGTTGTGAGGCCTGGCCAGGTGAAGGGGAGTGAGAGTAAGGTGATTCAGAAGGGAAGACAACGGCTGCAACAAGTAGCAAAGAGAGGAGGGAAGGGTGTGCAACGGGTGAAGCATTAGCAAATACAGGTGTCGTGTGTGTGTTGCTGTCCTTCTTATGGGATTGTGAAACTGATGGTTCTTTGAAGTAATGCAATTCAGGCTTGGCACGAAATCAACTCTTAGCCCATGTTGCATTGCATGTTGCTCGCTTGCCCCGCCACTTGAACAATAAGGTAAAACGAGAGTCACTCATGGGCACACATGATTCATGAATTGTCAGGGAAGTTGGCAGATTCAAGCAGTCGGACTGGATACTATGGTCGTTTTATTGACTTTATACTTGTTTTTTTTCTCCCACAAAAAAGAAATCGGCAATTAAGTATATCCTCCTAGGGCCTTGACTTGGTGAATCAGAGCTACAAGATAATGACAGCAGACTTGTTTCATATGCGCGTTTTTCAGTATGCATGATAGGGTCTAATTTGGCGAACGAGCAGTTACATAAACGCGGTTGTTCACAACGAACGCTAGATTCCCGCTCGTTTTGATATAAGCACAATCCTCGCAGAAGATCACAAACCTGTCCCCAGAAACTGCCGCCGAGATCCTGGGAGGGACCAGTCTCCACAACTATCTGCTGAGAAACGGCCTCCATATTCTCTTTAGGAGGTATTCAGTACGTTCAGGGCCGTCCGATCTGTCGCCCCGAATGTGCTTCCGTTCCGCTGCTTGCTAGCTACACTCCAACAGATCGGAAGGCCCTGGCTCTGATCTCGAGCTTGTGCAAGAGCAATCTTTTCTATACAGCATGAATGAGAGATGATTTTCTGACGTACTGGCGTAGCGAGCTTTCAGTAGTCAGCAGCACAGCGACATATTTCTAAGAAGCCAGCAAAATATTGCTCCTAAGCCAGCTAGCTACTTCTAAGCCTGAACTTACGCTCTGTCGACGTTCTGCCGGACTGTCTCGCAGATGAGGTAGGAATAAATATGAGAGGCTCTGAGAGTACAACTGAACACCAGTTCGGTTTGAACTCCTGAAGTTCACTTTTAGATAAGATTGCACTTGAGACGTAATAAGGATTGAGAGTCTTGCTAATGTGGTACGATTGAACTTGAGAGGCTCTGAGAGCGTAGATTCTGCCTGACGAGGATTTACGCATGCATTGCTTGGAAGTTTCACTTTGAAAGCTTAGATTCGATGAGAATCTAGCAGCAACGGCAGCAGATGTTGATTAGGCGATGATTTCACGGGTCGACCTAGAAGCCGATTCTTTACAATCGCTGTCAGGCACCTTGCAGCTCCAACTAGCGCCAAGTCGTTGGAGCTTCATTACTAGCACATGCTTCACTTACACAGAAGACAATGTTGCCTCGTCAATGCACATTTTTACTTCTATACGACGCGTTACTTGTCGCCGAATTCGTGCTGCTCTTATTCTCCTTGTGTCTCTCATTCTTCGCACACCCTTCTTCTCATCCTTGTTTCAGGTTCGCGTAGTGCCGTGTCACCGGCTCGTGATCCCCTTTTCCTGCAACGATCGATCGCCGTGGCAACGATCCGCTAGCCTCCTCCATCTCAGACTCGTCCAGTCGTTTCTAAACCGTCTCAAGGCCGGTTTCAACTTGACGTCACTAGACAGATTCCGTCAGGCAGCCAGCCATGCGGCACGGCGCGCGGTCGTCGGGCACGTTCTCGGCGTCATGGAACGTGTGGATCATGGTCACCATCGCCGTCGTCCTCGTCTTCTTCGGCGCGTGGGCCATCTTCTCCCCCACCAACAACGCAGTGAGTTCCTCTCGACATCTAAGAACGGCTTGTTTGATAGTTCTTGGCGTCATGGAACGTGTGGATCATGGTCACCATCGCTGTCATCTTCGCCCTCCTGGGCGCGTGGGCAATCTTCTCCCCCACTAATAACGCAGTGAGTTCCTCTAGACTCCTGAAACCAAGTGACCTAATTTTTCTGTTCTCCTCGCCACCAGGTCGTGGAGGTAATGCTAACGGATAGGCGACATCACCGTCTCCGCTGGCGGCGGAGGAGATGGAGGACGAGATAGGCGAATCGGTCCCCACCGTTGACAAAAGTCTCAACCCTGTATTCTGCTCTCCTCGTTTTCCCCCCTTCTCCCTCCCCTCCCCCCCAGGCTGTGGAGGCATTGGCGGAGGAGGGGGTGGATGACGTGGTGGGCATAAGCAGTCGGTCCCCACGGTTGACAACAGCACACACTGTGTCTCGTCTCACCCTGTATTTTGCTCTCCTCGTTCCCCCCTTCTCCCTCCCCTCCCCCACCTAGGCCGTGGAGGCATTGGCGGAGGAGGAGGTGGAGGACGTGGTTGGCGAGTAAGAACCGTCAGTAACTCTTTTCGGACGTCCCTTTGTTCTCTTTTCCTCACCCTCCCCCCGCTTTCCCTCTCCCCCGCCTAGGCCGTGGAGGCATTGGCGGAGGAGGAGGTGGAGGACGTGGTGGGCGAGTCAGAGCAGCGGCTGGAAGCTGATGTGAAAGTGGCGGAGGCGATTCAGAGGGCCAAGAACCGAGCCAAGCCCAAGGTGAGAGGGGGGGGGAGGGCAGAAAAGGCATTGGGTAATGGGGCATTTTGGGACGATGAAGGAGCGGGGACAGGGAAGGTGAAGTGGCTAGTCGGAGCAGCGGCTGGAAGCTGACGTGAAAGTAGCGGAGGCGATTCAGAGGGCGAAGAACCGAGCCAAGGCCAAGGTGAGTGTTTTGAGATGTCTCATGTGAGCCTGGCTGGAAACCTCTGGAAACGAAATTCGCCCCTTCTTTCTACCCGCTTCTTCCTCCTCCCCTCCTCTACATTCTCCATGCCTTCTTATCCCTCTCAGGACGTGGCAATAGAGGCAGAGGCGAGCAATGGGCTGGCAGAGTGAACCCTTAGAACCGAAACCCACCTCATTCTTTGCCTCTCTTACTCTCCCTCCCTCGTCAGGACGTGGCAGTAGAGGCAGAGGCGAGCCGTGGGCTGGCAGAAGAGATCCACTAAACCGAGACCCACCTCTTCCCACCCCTCACTTCAATATCCCTCCCTTGTCAGGACGTGGCAGTGGAGGCAGAGTCGAGCAGCGGGCTGGCAGAAGAGACGGGCGCTGAAGGTGCAGGGGAGGAGGACGAACAGGGGGTTGAAGTGGCGGGAGGCGAGGAGGGGGGGAGTGAGGAAGGGGGAGGTGAAGAGGGGGGAGGGAAGGAAGCGGGGAAGGGAGGGGAGGAGGAGGAGGGAGGGGGGGAAGAGGAGGAGGGCGCTGTTGCTGGAAGGGGAGGGAAGGGGGGAAGGGGAGGAGGTGGAGGGAAGGAGAGCGCTGAAGAGGGGAGTGAGGAGGAAGGGGAGGAGGAGGGAGGTGGAGGAGGAGTAAAGAAGGGAGGTGCGAGTGAGGAGGAAGGGGAGTCAGAAGGCGAACTGGAAGGAGAGAGAGGGGGGAAGGGTGTGCAGGGAAAGAAGGGCGGAGAGAAAGAGGAGGCTGATGCAGCAGGCGAGGAGGGAGGAGACGGAGAAGGTGGTGCAGAGGAAGCGGGAAGCGGCGAGGGGAAGAAGGCTGGAAACTCCAAGGTAATGCCTGAGTTTGAGGGTTTTATAGTCACCGCATTAATCATCCTTTAAGCTGCTTTTAGGCTCACCTTTAGAGCTGCCATGGTAGTCGAATCAAGCTGCGCAGGAGATAAGCGAGAACAAACGTCTGCAGATAAGCTGTGCAGTGGGGTGCAGTGCAATGATGAGGCGGGCAGGAGGAGGCAACAGCCTAAGCCAAGTCGCCTCCCTCATCCTTCGTTACCCCAAGTTCGATCTCCCTTCCCTTTGCTCCCTCCCCTCCTGCCCTGTGCCGACCCAGCATCTGAAGAAGCAGCGCTCAGAGGAGTGGTAAATTCAGAGGAAGAGCCAGCAGCAGTGGACCCAACCCAACCTACCTAAGCAGACTTGTGGACTGAAAGCAGCAGCTCAGAGTCTCGCCTCTCTGCCTCTCTCTCTCTCTGTATTCCATTCTCTCCTTCTATCTGGTCCCTTCTTCTCCCACTTTCTGATCCTCTCTGCTTCCATCCCCCCTGCCCAGTTCTTCTCTGCTGACCTGGCAGCGGTGGAAGCAGCGTGGGACTCGGAGGACACAGCGCAGCAGCAGACCCCAACGTACTGGCAGCAGACCTGCGCACAGAGAGCAGCAGCTCGAAGTTTCCCCTTTTGTTCTTTCTTTCTATCCCTCTCCCTTATCCCAACCTCTCCTTCTCTGCCCCTGCTCAGTTTTTCTCTGCTGACCTGGCAGCGGTGGAAGCAGCGTGGGACTCGGAGGATGCAGCAGCAGCGGACCCCAACGTGCCAGCAGCAGACCTGCGCACAGAGAGCACGAGCTCTGAGGCAGGCAGTGGGCTCGAGACGCAGGCACGGGAGTCGGAGGAGGAAGCGAGGCTGGACATTCGTGAAGCTGCCACCAAGAAGCAGGACAGCAAGCAGACGGAGGTAGGGGCTGAAAGCGGTTTTTTAGCGTGCTGTTTAGTGCTTTAAGGTGCCGAATAAGGGAGGCCGGCAGTGGGCTGAAGTCCCTGCCCAGACACGCGAGTCGGAGAAAGAAGTGAGGTTGGACATTCGGGAGGCTGCCATGAAGAAGCAGGAGATGGATGGAGAGCGGTTGAGATGGGCAGGAAGAGGTAGAGGCACACGCAGGAGGGCTGGCAGACGGAGGAGAGGGGGAGAGCAAGCCAACGGTGGAGGGGGGAGGGACGATCATTCAGAGCAACGACACGAAATGAAGTGAGTTCCTCCCTGTAATTGTTTTCTCAGTTTCTTTGTTCCCTCCGCCCACCCTGTCAGGACTAATTTGGCGAGATGGAAGAGGGGGCGGCGATTATCCAACCGCATAGATTGAATAAAATGCCACCCTTCATTTGTCCCCTCCCTCCCCCTCCCCCTTCACTTCACCCTGCAAACCGTGCCCATCCTGTCAGGACGACTTTGGGGAGGTGGAGGGGGGAGCGTCGATCATCCAGAACAGTCCCGAGAGCAAAGACCCACCGCTCATGGCAGGGCCGGTGGGGCAGGGCACAGGGGAGGAAGGGGGCGGCGCTCTGCCCTCCCTTGACCTCGAAAACGCCAAGTTCCGGTGGCCGTCGTGCGGTGGTAACCGCACGGACTGGGTGCCATGTCTGGACAATGAGAAGGCGATCAAGGCGCTGAGGACGAACAAGCACTATGAGCACCGCGAGAGGCACTGCCCCGTGCCTGGGGAGGTGGAGAAGTGTTTGGTGCCGCTGCCTGAAGGGTACAAGGCGCATGTGCCGTGGCCCGAGAGGACCAGGTGAGACGCGGTGGAGTGCGGTGAGATGCGGTGAAATGGGCAGTAGGTTGGGGTGAAATGATGTGAATTGGGACGAACAAGCACTATGAGCACCGCGAGAGGCACTGCCCTGTTCCTGGGGAGGTGGAGAAGTGCCTGGTGCCGCTGCCTGAAGGGTACAAGGCTCATGTGCCGTGGCCCGAGAGCAGAGACCAGGTGAGACGCGGTGGAGTGCGGTGAGATGCGGTGAAATGGGCAGTAGGTTGGGGTGAAATGATGTGAATTGGGGCGAACAAGCACTATGAGCACCGGGAGAGGCACTCCCCCGTGCCTGGGGAGATGGGGAAATGCCTGGTGCCGCTGCCTGAGGGGTACAAGGCGCATGTGCCGTGGCCTGAGAGCAGAGACCAGGTGAGACGCGGTGGAGAAGAGTGAGAAGTGGTGGAATTGTTCACTCTGCTCCTGCACAAGCTACATGAACGTTCACTCTGCTCCCACTCTGCTTCCATCTTCTGTCGCGCCGTCTCCCCACTGCTTCTCAACTCCCTCTTGTCCTCCTTCCGCAACTCTCCCTTCTCCTACCCCCCCGCTCCTCCCCCCCTTCCCCCCCACACCACAGGTCTGGTACAACAACGTGCCTCACCCGGGCCTGGCGAGCTACAAGAAGGATCAGAACTGGGTGGCTATGGAAGGCGACAAGCTTGTGTTCCCGGGGGGCGGCACGCAGTTTACTCATGGAGCCACGGGGTACATCAACTTCGTTCAAAAGGTGAGAGTTGGTGCAATGCGGTGCAGTGCGGTATGGTGTGATGCGGTGCAGTGTGGCGAGCTACAAGAAGGATCAGAACTGGGTGGCTATGGAGGGTGACAAGATTGTGTTTCCGGGGGGAGGCACACAGTTTACTCATGGAGCCACGGGGTACATCAACTTCGTCCAGAAGGTGAAAGGTGGTGCAGTGCGGTGTGATGCGATGGAGTGGGTTACTCCGTAGCGTGTGACCTATTCTCGTCAGGGTTACTCTGTGGAGCTATGGGGCGCATTAGCAGTCAATTTCATTCAGAAGGTACAGTGCGATGCGGTGCAATGCGGTACAGTGTGATGCTGCATGGCATGAAGCCACAGGATGCATCAACTTGGTTCAGAAGGAACGGTGTGATGCGCAACAGTGCGGTATGGTGCGTGAGACTGCGGTGCCCTTGAGACGTGGCATGAGTAATGTGTGTCAATAGGGGCACATCGATGCATCACCAAGCGGGCGGTCACATGGCCTGTGGTAACCACCCTATGGCTGTTTATGTATATTCCGCTCCTGCCCCTGGCCACACTCCCCACTGGGCAAACTTCTGACGTGGCGTGGGGCAAGCGCGTGCGGGTCTTGCTGGATATGGGCTATGGGGTAAGCGCATACGGTGATGCTGGATGTGGGCTGTGGCGTGGCTTGGACTAACTTACTCCGTGATGCCCCAACACATAACCACACTTCCTCCATCCCCACCAGGCCTTCGTCAATGTGTCATGGGGAAAGCGTGTGCACGCGTGATGCTGGATGTGGGCTGTGGCGTGGCCTGGACTAGCCAACTCCGTGATGCCCCAACACATAACCACACTTCCTCCATCCCCACCAGGCCTTCTCCAATGTGGCGTGGGGCAAGCGCGTGCGGGTGATGCTGGACATGGGCTGTGGCTTGGCCTGTGATAACCAACTCCGCTTTGCCGATGTGGCGTGGGGCAGGCGAGTGCGCGTGATGCTGGACATGGGCTGTGGCGTGGCTAGAATTAACCATCTCTCCACATCCCCCCACACTCCCCCACACCCCCTACAACCACTTTAGGCCTTTGCTGACGTGGCGTGGGGCAGGCGAGTGCGCGTGATGCTGGACATGGGCTGTGGCGTGGCGAGCCTGTCAGCGTACCTGGACCCGTTTGACGTGAGGGTCATCTCCATGGCGCCTAAAGACGAGCACGAGGCGCAGGTGAGAAGGAGAGAAGCCAAGTGAGGGCATCACGGTGGTGAAGGTTCAAAGCCCCAAGCGTGGCGAGCCTATCAGCATATCTGGACCCGTTTGACGTGAGGGTCATCTCCATGGCGCCTAAAGACGAGCACGAGGCGCAGGTGAGGAGAGGGAGAGGGAGAGGGAGAGGGCACGTTATGAGGTTGATGATGGCACAGGCGCTGAGGTTAAGGCCATCGTGGTGGTGAAGATTGAAACTTGAAAACTTCAAGCGTGGCGAGCCTGTCAGCGTATCTGGACCCGTTTGACGTGCGAGTCATCTCCATGGCGCCAAAAGATGAGCACGAGGCGGAGGTGAGGATTGTACACGTGGGATTGGCATATGTGGGACGAGATGAGCTCACGGGTTAGCTGAACTTCTGGGTTCTGAGCCTGGGGTGGGAAGATGTCTTACGGGTGGCGAGGCAAGCCTAGCAGTGTCATGTCTATCAGGTACCTGGAGGCCTTTGACGTGAGGGTCACGTCTATGGCGCCCCAGGACGAGCACGAGGCGCAGGTTGGTGGGCACAGGCACTGGGTTCAAGGTACACCCAACGAGAATTCTCAAAAATACCCTGCAAGGTCATGGTGATCTGGTTAAGAGTTGAGGTCAAGGTTTGAAGCCTGTCAGCATACCTGGACGCGTTTGACATGCGGGTCATGTCCATGGCACCCCAAGGATGAGCACGAGGCGATGGTGCCATACGGCTGTGATGAGCTGTATGGGTTGTGATGGGTGCGATTGATGGTTCTGTGTGGTTGGGTTTCTCAGGACTCCCGTTTTCTCCAGCTAATCCCATCCTAGATCTGTTTCTTTTCTCCTTTTCCTCTGATCCCTTCAGATTCATGCGGCTCTGGAGCACTGAGTGCAGGCGGTGGTGGTGGGTATCCAGCAGGCTGCCTTATGCTTAGCAAAAAGTCTGTTATTTCAACCACTATCACCACCCCGAACATTACCACCTTCCTTCACCCCTTTTCCCCCATTCTTTCTTCCTTCCTCAGATTCAACTGGCTTTGGAGAGAGGGGTGCTGGCGGTGGTGGGGGTGATGGGTACGCAACGCCTGCCCTTCTCCTCCAACTCCTTTGATGCCGTGCACTGCGCTCGCTGCCACGTGCCGTGGCACATCGATGGTGAGTGAGGGAGTGCGTACATGCATACATCTTCTGGTGCACTGCGCTCGCTGCCGCGTGCCGTGGCACATTGATGGTGGGTGCTCTGATGCATGCATGATGCATCCCTTCAATACACACGCACATACACACATCCCCATGCATGCACACAGCTTTCTCGCAGCACCTGCCTCATCCACGCATATGGGAACACACATATTCATGCGCACATATGCATGCGCACACGCTGATATGTTGAGTGTAACTCACTACAAGTTCTTGTCACTGGGAATACCTCGACTTTCATATTTTACTTGCTCCCAATTTCCTCATGTATGCCGCCAGGTGGCATGCTGCTATTGGAGCTGAACCGAGTGCTGCGACCAGGGGGCTTCTTCATCTGGTCTGCCACGCCTGTGTACCGCCACAAGGGGGATGACGAGGAGATCTGGAATGGTGAGTGTGGGCAGTGGTGAGTGCATGGAGTGGTGAGTGTGGGTGCATGGCGTGGTGAATGGGTGTGGAGTGGAGGTACGATTGCTCGCATGCCCGTTACCGTGTGCTGCGATCAGGGGGTTACTTCATTCATCGGGTCGGCGCCTGTGTACCGCCACAAGGGGGATGATGAGGAGATCTGGAGCGGTGAGAACGGGTGTATGGCGTGGTGAGTGCATGGCAGGATGGCTGCATGCAAGCTTGTTGGCTTTTGAGGCGCCTAGAAAATGCATGCAAGCCGCATGGTGAGTTCGAGGAGGTACGATTGCGAGCCTGTGAACGTGTGCAAGAGGCTCGTGCTTCATCTGGTCGGCTTTTGAGGTATTTTGAGGCACCTTGAAAACTGAGGTACGAATGTAAGCTTGTCAATATTGTGTCGTGGTTCAGTTGGTCAGCTTTTGAGGCCTCAATGGCTGACCTGGCAGGGCTGCTGTGCTGGACTTTTAAAGTGCGAGAGAAGGAGGACAGGTTGGACAATCCGGGCGTTTCCGTGTGGCAGAAGCCCAATTCATCCCTCCCCCCACGCCCACCACCACCACCACCACCACCACCACCACCACCACCACCACCACCACCACCACCACCACCACCACCACCACCACCACCACCACCACCACCACCACCACCACCACCACCACCACCACCACCACCACCAACCCTCCCAACCCGTACGCAGCAATGACTGATTTAGCTGAGCGCATGTGCTGGACGCTGAAGGTGCGGGAGAAGGAGGATGGGCTGGACAACGTGGGCGTGGCCGTGTGGCAGAAGCCTTCTGACAACCGCTGCTACAGCGAACGTGGGGCGGGGACCCCGCCTCCCATGTGTGAATCGGAGGACAATCCTGATGCTGCTTGGTGAGTGGAGAGGGGGGCAGGGAGGAGGGCAGTGAGTGGGGCAGGGGAGGAGTGGGTCAGTAGGAGGGGGTGATGGAGTAACCGGATGAGTGGGTCGGGGACAAGCAGAGGTGTGAGCAGCCATGGGGAGAGCGAGGGCTGAACGCTGTGCCCTAGGTATCAGCATTGTCTGACCGCCTTTCTTTCTATTCCCGCACCCCCATTCTCCCTGCCCTAGGTATGTGCCCATGAAGGCGTGCCTGAATCCTGTCCCGGCGTTCAAGGGCATGCGAGCGGCGCAGTGGCCAGCCATGGGCAGGGCGAGGCTGAGAGCCGTGCCTGCTGTCTGACCGCCTCTCTCTTTCTATTCCCCCACCACTCCCACCCACTCCTCCCTGCCGTAGGTATGTGCCCATGAAGGCGTGTCTGAATCCTGTCCCGGCGTTCAAAGGCATGCGGGCGGCGCAGTGGCCGGCCATGGGCAGGGCGAGGCTGAGAGCCGTGCCTGTGTGGCTGCAGATGCTCAAACGAGGGGTGTTTGGCGGCCCTGCTGTGGCTGAGATGAAACGCGACCAGGTGAGATGAGATGAAACGAGAGCAAGTGGGATGAGGTGAAACGAGATAAGGTGTGAGATGAGGTGAAACAAGCCGTAAATCGAACGAGTGTAGATGCGATGCGATGTTGGAATTGGGTAGGATGAAATGGGACTAGTGAAATTGAATGGGTTTTGGTGGGTTACGGTAAATGGGAGCAGTGAAGTACGCCTTGGTCATAACCTTTGTGCCTACTCTTCGTTCCCTCGTCGTCCCCCTCCACCCTCACCCCTCCCCCTCTCCCCCACACCCCTCCCAGATCCACTGGAAGAAGGTGGTTGCGTTCTATGATGCGTCGTTTGGCATCGACGTGATTTACACCTTCATTGTTACCTTTGTGCTTACCCTCCCCCCTCTCCCCTCCCCCTTCCCCCCTCCCCCCTCTCCCCCACACCCCTCCCAGATCCACTGGAAGAAGGTGGTTGCGTTCTACGATGCGTCGTTTGGCATCGACTGGAGCACCGTGCGGAACGTGATGGACATGAACGCACACTATGGCGGGTGAGAGTGACAGAAGGGGCAGGGCGGGTGAGTGTGACAGAGGGGGCAGGGCGGGTGAGTGTGACAGAAGCGGCAGGGCGGCTGAGTGTGATTGTGTGGAGCAGGAGGTTTGTAGTGATTGCGTGAGGAGACATAATGACTGTTGGCTGGAGCACAGTGCAGAACACGATGGACATGAACGCACACTATGGACACTATGGCGGGTGAGTGTGACTGAATGAATGAAGGGTGATTATGTGAATTGTAGTCATAGGGAGGGTGAGCCTGTTTCTATGAATGGTGAGTGATTGTATGGAGGGGTGAGAATGATTGTTTGGAGTGGGAGCTCTATAGTGGTCCCAAATGGAGACTCATTAGACTTCGGTTGGAAAAGGCACAATGAGGAGTAGAATGGCCCCCGACTTTTGAGACGTCTCAAAAGTCGTCTACTTACACGCGGAAAAGGCACAATGAGGAGTAGAATGGCCCAATGAGGAGACTCTATAAGGCACAATGAGGAGTAGAATGGCCCAATGAGGAGACTCTATAAGGCACAATGAGGAGTAGAATGGCCCAATGAGGAGACTCTATAAGGCACAATGAGGAGTAGAATGGCCCAATGAGGAGACTCTATAAGGCACAATGAGGAGTAGAATGGCCCCCAAAATTCTCTCCCATCCTTCGCCCCCTTCCCACCCCTCCACACCTTTTCAGCCTTACTCACTCCACTACTTCCAAATTGTGCCACTCAACCCCCACCCCTCCCCGCTCCTTTACATCACCTGCTCACCCCTCTCCACCCGTCTCCCAGGTTTGCAGCGGAGCTGGCAGTGTCAGAGAAGCCTCTGTGGGTGCTGAACGTGGTGCCCACTAGCGGGCCCGACTTGCTGCCCACCTTCCATCCCTCCCTACCTGTCCCCACCACTCTCCACCCCTCCCAGCTTTGCAGCAGGGCTGGCAGTGTCAGAGAAGCCGCTGTGGGTGCGGAACGTGGTGCCCACGAGCGGGCCGGACTCGAGTGAGGCGTTAACCCCTTCCTGTGCAGCGAGCCATTCTTACTCACTCCACTACGTCCAAACTCTGCCACCAACCCTCCCCACCCCTTCCCACCCCTCCACACAAAGAAGCCCCTGTGGGTGGGTGCTGAACGTGGTGCCCACGAGTGGGCCCGACTGGTGCGAGGCGTGATTCTCACTCCACTACGTCCAAACCCTGCCGCCCACCCTCCCCACCCCTCCCAGGTTTGCAGCAGAGCTAGCAATTTCAAAGAAGCCCCTGTGGGTGCTGAACGTGGTGCCCACTAGTAGCACCGACTCGCTACCCACCCTCCATCCCTCTCCACCCGTCCCGACCCCTATCCACCCCTTACCACTCCCCAGATTTGCAGCAGAGCTAGCAATTTCAAAGAAGCCCCTGTGGGTGCTCAACGTGGTGCCTACGAGTGGGCCCGACTCGCTGCCGATCGTGTTTGAGCGAGGGCTGGTGGGGATCTACCACGACTGGTGTGAGGCCTTCAACTCGTACCCGCGCTCCTACGGCCTGCTTCACGCTGATCACACGGTCTCACAGGAGGTTGGCAGGTGAGCAACGCCCTCGCTCATTCACATGCTCATTTACGCTTGTGCGACCTGCCCTGCCCATGTTGTTTGAACGTGGTGCCCACGAGCGGGCCCGACTCGCTGTCGATTGTGTTTGAGCGCGGGCTGGTAGGGATCTACCACGACCGATCACACGGTGTCACAGGAGGTTGGCAGTTGAGCAATGCCCACGCTCATTCACGTGCTCATTCACGCTTGTGCGACCATACAGTGTCCCAGGAGGGTGGCAGGTGAGAAATATTAGGAGGTGAGAGGGGCGCTGTCGGACAAGGTGAGAGGGACATGGGACACAGGTGTCATTCAACTCGTACCCGCGCTCCTACGACCTGCTTCGCGCTGATCACACGGTCTCACAGGAGGTAGGCAGGTGGGGGAGGCATGTTGAGATGCTGATAGAATGTCATGTGATGGGACACGGTCACACGAACGGCAACTTGTACTCGCGATTGTATGACCCGCTGCCGAACATCTGATTGTGTGTATGAGACACAGGTATGGTTTTTTAGTCGACTCAAAACTCGTCTCATCACACACATCTGATTGTGTGTATGGGACACAGGTATGGGAACTCTGTGCTGCTTGAGAACGCTGGATTGATTGACCCGCTGCCGAACATCTGATTGTGTGGATGGGACACAGGTATGGTCAACCTGAGGGGCGTGTTGGGAACTCTGTGCTGCTCGAGATTGGCCGCCTACCCCGCCTTGAGGGGTGGGCGTGCTGAGACGTCTCATTATGCAAATTTGAACATTTTCATTGCACCTTTGCCCGATCTGTCCCAACCCCACCGCCCCCACCAGGTGCGACATCACCTCTGTGCTGGTGGAGTTGGACCGTCTGCGTCTCCGCTAGGGGTGGCAGTGTTGAGACATGTCAGGATGCATGTTTGATGCTGTCCATCGCCCTTTACCCATATCTCTCAACCCAAACACCTCCACCGCCACCACCAGGTGCGACATCACCTCTGTGCTGCTCGAGATGGACCGTCTGCTCCGTCCCGAGGGCTGGTCAGTATTGAGACATGTCAGGATGCATAAAATGTCCATCTGTCCCCCACCACCGCCCCCACCAGGTGTGACATCACCTCTGTGCTGCTCGAGATGGACCGTCTGCTGCGCCCTGAGGGCTGGGCAGTGTTCCGCGACCATTCGCGCATGGAAGGGGTGTATGCTTGCCTTTCCCCTCAACCGCCAACCCACCTCCCCCACCACTCTCACCACCACCAGGTGTGACATCACCGCTGTCCTACTCGAGATGGACCGTCTGCTCCGCCCTGAGGGCTGGGCAGTGTTCCGCGACCATGCGCGCATGGGGGGGTCTATTCTCAACATCGCAGCCTCCTTCCACTGGCGCCTCAAGTTCAACCAGACCGAGGGCGGAGAGGTGCTGCTGGCGTTTCGGAAGGGCTTTTGGCGACCCAAGGAAGAGGCTTGATGCTTGTGCCAGGGAATTGTACCTGCACGAGAGGGTTGACTGTCTAGAGGGTTGACTTATGCATGAAGATATGGCTTGAGCTTCTGGGAATAAACACTAGCCACTTTTGCAGGAAATTAAGAGGGCATTTTCGTAGAGTAAATCAGGATTTTTGTCTCAAGATTAAACATGGAATTTGGAAGAGGGTGCCTTTTATTGGGGTTCACTCTTAAGAAAGTGCCATCCATGCCTAAGTGTTAATGGCATCAGCTCCAAGTCCTGATGTGCTTGCCAAACGTACCCTAGTGTGAATGGACGTTCATGAAGATGGATGTGTAACAGTCCGTTCACTCTAACTCCTAACGACATGCAGGTAACCCTCCTCGCACGTTGTCGCGAAAGAATCCTGCTTTCTCTGAGCGTGTAAGCCGGAATTGCAGTTTGGTGAGATCTACTGCATGTTGCAACGGTTGAATAAGGTTCAGCGAAACCAAACCCCTGTGATAATATTGCGTTGCGGTGACCCATAGATGATCAACAACAAAGCAGAGCCCACAGTTCCGATCAGCTACCATCACTTGGTCCATGGCGGTATGTAGGTTCCTCCAGCCGTTTTCCAGCCATTTTCCTGCCCAATTGCAGTGTCCCGTAGCTATCTTCCCTGCTACCCGCACCGGCCGCTGTCGCGTTCCGTCTCCCGGTTGGTTCTCTCGCGCTTCGGTCATTGCAATCTCAACCACAGACGGTGTCAATACTCGTGACAATTCTCAGGCTCGCAGCGCCACGAGACGAATTCGTGTTAGGGCCGCGGGTATTGATATCGAGCCGCGTGCGTTCAAGTGGGAGGAAACCATGAAGAACTGTCAGGTAGAACTGCCAGGTAGAACGCGCTTTGAGTAGGAGTTGTTGGGAAGGAAACAATTTTTCGTTGGTACTTGCTTGTGTCACTCTTGATATTTGACGAATTGGCTTTTGAGTCGACTCAAACGCGACACAAGAAACTTTTTGGTAGCTGATGAATTCCGTTGATAGTAACTGTTGATGTCGTTTTCTTTCGTGAAGCGTTCCTCTCATGCTTTGACGCCTCGATTCTTTGTAGGTTCTGTCGATATTACATGCAAATTTTCAGAGCAATGCAGGCCAACGTTTCGAACTCCATCACCCTCCACGCTCCGCCATCCGTCTGGTTTCAGATCATTCTAGGATTGTCGTCACAGAGCCGCCAGCAGGTGCTACGGGAAGGTTCGGAAAAGCTCTCACTCGCTCTCCACCTCCCCCCCACCACGCCTCCATATCCATGCGTGCGTCCACGTGTTGTGTTGGCAGATCATCCTGGGATTGTCGTCGCAGAGCCGACAGCAGGTGCTGCAGGAAAGCTGGGAGTCAACCGAATGTTCTTCTGGTCCTCTCTCGCTCTCCACCTCCCCTAAGCCGTCCCTCCTCGCCCCGTGTTTCCACATGTTGACAGATCATTCTGGGATCGTCGTCACAGAGCCGGTAGCAGATCCTGCAGGAAGGTTCTGAGCAACCTGAAAGGCTCTCCCTCGCTCCATCCACCACCCCTCCATGCCCCGCCATCTGTCTGGTGACAGATCATCCTGGGATCGTCGTCACACACCCAGCAGCAGGTGCTGCGGGAATGCTGGGAATCAATCAGATGTATTTCTGGTCCTCTATTACCCCTCCACGCTCCGTGCTTCCATCCATGTCGTGGCAGATCATTCTGGGATCGTCATCACACAGCCGGTAGCAGGTGCTGGGGGAATGCTGGGAATCAATTAAATGTATTTCTGGTCCTCTATTACCCCTCCACGCTCCGTGCTTCCATCCATGTCGTGGCAGATTATTCTGGGATCGTCATCACAAAGCCAGCAGCAGGTGCTGCGGGAAATAGGCGTGCCATTTGAGATCATGGTGGTTGCTTTCATCACACTAACGGTTGCAAACGGGGATGCTTGAAACGCGTATAGTAGGAGGACCAGACCCAGGAGCAGGTGCTCCGGGAGATAGGCGTGCCGTTTGAGATCATGGTGGGTGCTTTCATCACAGTGAAGGTCGGAAACGAGGATGCCTGAAACGTGTATAGAAGTGGGAGCGGAGCCTACTTTTGAGAATTATAAAAAGTTTCGCACGAAGACGGGAACACTGGTGGCTTGCACAGTGCTTTATGAGATGGTTGGTGGTATTAGGGGTTGCGTGCCTATCGTTGATCGTCAGAAGGCGGGGTGAACAGGTTGAGAGATCACTGCTGTTTGATTTTATTTTTTTTAGATTTCTTGAATGTGATACCAGCAGATTGTTATTTTAAACCATTTTGAGAACAGAAAAATCAGCATTTCATGTAATTGAAGGAGATGAATGGGAAAGAGGAGAGGCTGGGAAAGAAGGAAGGGATGGAATGGAAGGGGTGAGATGGTGTGGAAAAGAGGAAGGGGAGGGTTCTCGTGTGGTCTTTCCTCTCATCCCATGTTACTCTCTCCTCATTCACACTGCTACGTGCTTTCTGCGCCGCACATCCTACTCTGCCCATGGTGATCACGCCACTGCATGCAGAAGCCAGGGATAGACGAGGAGGCTATTCGGAGTGCAGACCCCAACGAGCTCGTTTCTCTCCTTTCTCGCGCCAAGGTGACATCCACGTGTCTACATTGCTGCTCGTATTTTAAGTATGAATACAATTATGCTGTAAAACGCAGGGTTGAAGTTTCTGTATTGCACGACCCTTCAACAGCCCTCCCTCCCCTCGCCAAGCTTCTCCCCGTTTCTTGCACCTGAAGGGTCCACGCTTCTTATCCTCTTCTGTCCAGCGTTTTTTCTTAAATACATTTTATTGTTCAAGAATGTTACCCGGTGTGTGCCATTCAATAATCTTGTGCCGCGTGTTGTTATAGTTGTGGGAAGGAGAACGCGAATGAATGAACTATGAATGAAGTGAGTACATATAGGAAACCCTAATTGGGTTGTACCCCCTATGGGATACCCCACTATAGCCTACACAACAGCATAAGCTATATAATGTTCTGACACACCCCCATAGGCAAAGTGGGGGAGAACAAGGGGTCACAAGACCAGTCACGCAAAGCACAGCAAGCTCAGGGTGGATCACAAAGTCACCACACAGTCCGAGCACAACGACAAGGCCACAAGGCCAGTTCACATGCAGGAGGACACATATATATATAGAGCTAGACAAGCAAGAGCAGGTATATATATGTGACAGTACAAGCAAGGTCAAGAGGAGAGCAAGTGAGGCAAGACAGGTACAAGACCCAACTGAGTGCAGAAGCGCTGATGGTCACAAGGCGCAAGTGCCTTGGTGAACACATCAGCAGTGTTGGCCTCAGAGGCCACGTACGCAAGTCGCAACTGACCACGCTGCTGCAGCTCACGAGCAAGAAAGTAACGGAGAGCAATGTGCTTCGTTCTGTGCTCCAGCATGGCCTTGTTGTCTACGTACAGCACTGGAGGAGAACGAGGCTGCTCTCCAAGGTCAGTCAGCAGGTAGGTGAGCCAGCGAAGCTCCTGTGCAGCCATGGCCCCGGCGTAGATCTCAGCCTCACAACTGGAGCCGAGAACAGAGGACGAGCGAGTAGCCCGCCACGAGACAGAGCCGGAACCAAGACTGAAGGTGTAACCCTGCGACGACCGCTGCGTAGCCTGGTCGTCAGCCCAAGAAGCGTCCGCGTGCCCAGTGAGGACCACTGGACTCCGCCCTCCAAGCACTAGCCCCATGCCCGACGTACTGCACAAGTAGCGCAACACCCTCTTCGCTGCAGCCATGTGCTCTGGTCGGTGTCTCCCAGGAGCAACATAGCGTGCAAGAATGCTAAGAGGGTATGCAAGGCCAGGTCGTGTGCAGGTCATCAGGTACATGAGGCAGCCAACAAGCTCTGGGTACGGGCCACTCGACTCTACGGACTCATCCGAAGGCAGAGCTGAGAGCGAGTGGCGAGTAGACAGAGGAGTGGCCTGAGGCGAGGAGTACGTGAAGCCGAAGCGCTGAAGGACCTGCTGCACCATGTGTGACTGAGTCAAGGTAATGGTGCGGCGTGCTCTGTCCCGAGTGATCTGCAAGCCAAGGTAGCTGCGCAGTTCACCCAGGTCTGTGCACGTGTGTCTCTTCTGCAGCTCGGACTTCACGTAGGCTAGTCCAGCAGTGTCAGCTGTGGCAAAGACCAAGTCGTCGACGTACACGAGGATGTAGAACGGCGGCAAAGAAGTGTCCGTGCGCAGAAACAACGACGGGTCAGCAGTAGAGGGAGCAAACCCAAGAGCCGCAAGCGTAGTCCTCAGTGTGTCGTGCCACTCACGCGGTGCCTGGCGGAGACCGTAGACTGGCCGTCGGAGGCTCCACTGGGTGCCAGGAGGGAAAGTCCCAGTGAAGCCAGGTGGACGGCGCAGCCAGATCTCCTCGTGCAGGCTACCCTGCAAGAAAGCAGTGCTGAAGTCAAGAGAGTGGAGCTCGTAGTCGCGCTGAGCGGCTATGTGCAGCAGCACCCGAAGAGTGGTCATCTTCGGGGTGGGAGAGAAGGTCTGAAAGTAGTCAACTCCCTGCCGCTGACTGAAGCCACGAGCGACGTACCGCGCCTTGAAGACAGGTGGAGAGCCCGGCGGCCGCTTCACCCTGAAGATCCACATGCCACTGACGATGTTCGCCCCAGGAGGGGGCACCGCGTCAACGTAGGTGCCTGTGGACTTCCAGGACGCCATCTCTGCATCCATAGCTACCTGCCACTGAGAGGAGTAGGGACCCTCTACGGCCTCCGCGTAAGAGCGCGGAGTCGGGATGTCTAGTGCATCCGGGTCTCCCTCAGGGGCAAGTAGTACGGACGCGAGATGAGGTGAAGCAGCAGCCAGACACTGGAACTCCTCCTGCCTGTCCTCAAGGACGTCCGTGCTAAGAGCACACTCACCCCCGACGGACGGAGGACAGACAGACGCAGACTCAGCAACAAGACCGGCAGCGTAGTCTAGACGACAGCGAGCAGCAAAGTCGACGAGCTCAGCAACAAGCGCAGACGCAGCAGTGGACTCAAAAGAGGGGTCAGTGACGACAGTAGCAAGGAGACGTGTGACAGTAGGACTAGCAGCACGAAGAGAGTCGGACTCTGGGTCGGTAAGTGCAGGAAGGGAGGACTCAGGAGGAGAAGGCAAAGGGGCACGCAGAGGAGCAGTGGACGGACGCAAAGACATCCGGTGCGTGCCAGGGACAGGAGGAGGACGCTGACGCGAACCGCGACCACTAGCGCGAGCAGCACGAACAGGCGACGCAGGACGAGACGCAGGCTCACGACGCTCAGCAAGACCTCCAGTGGGACCAGTGTAAGGAGAGGGAGCAGGAAGTGGGGAGGCGGGCTCTAACTGGGACTGTGACTGAACAGGCGGTGGACACGCTGCAGGAGGAGAAAGACCAAGAACCTGCTGTAGGAGTGGAACGAAGTACGGCCGAGGCCGCGCGGCGACTCCAGACACAGCAGGGACAGCACCCTCAGCAGCAGCACCAGCGCCAACAGCACCTCCAGCGGCAGGACCTCCAGCAGCACCAGCAGCACCCGCAGCAGGACCACCGCCAGGAAGGACAGCAGCAGTCTCAGCACCAACACCCGCAGCAGCTCCAGCTCCAGGCGGACCCGAGGGCCCAGCAGCTCCGGGACCAGCGGCACAAGTACCCTCAGCAGCCGAAGGAGCTCCAGCTCCAGCAGTACGTCTCCAGCGGCGAGCAAACCACTCGCGCAGCTCCTGTGGAGAGAGGGGCTCCCGCCGAGGCGAAGCACCCGGAGAACCGCCAGGTCCCGCACCGCCAGACGCCACAAGGGGAGGTCCAGTGGCCGCAGGCTCCGCAGCTCCAGGCTCAGCAGCTCCAGACGCAGCACCCCCTGGCTCAGCACCCCCAGTCGCAGCACCCCCAGGCTCAGCACCCCCAGACTCCGCACCCCCAGGCTCAGCACCCCTAGTCGCAGTACCCCCAGGCTCAGCACCCCCAGACTCAGCACCCCCAGGCTCAGCACCCCCAGGCTCAGCACCCACGCGCGTAGCACCCCCAGAGTCAGCACCCCCAGGCTCAGCACCCGCAGCAGGACCAGAGTCACCAGCAACCTCGACCGGCTCGACTGCGTCTACCTGGGACACACCTGAAGGGGCAGGACCCTGAGGGGGAAGGGGGTCTACCGGGGGGGGACCTGGCACAAGGAAGTGCGGTGGCGGGGGGAGGGAAGGAGTGCGGTAGGGGAAGAGGCGGTAGAAGGGGACTGACTCGTCGAACGTGACGTCCTGGGAGGACAGAACACGACGAGAGGAGGGGTGGTAGAACTGCCACCCTGGGGCGTCAGGGGGGAAGCCGAGGAAGACACAGGGAGCAGCACGAGGGGACAGCTTGTCCGCAGACAAGTCGCGGACAAACGCCCGAGATCCCCAGACACGGAACGCAGACGCATCGCCGACCTTCCCCGTCCACAGCAGAGCTGGGGAGGTCTCCGGCCGGGAGACCCTGGGGTGAAGGTTGATCTGATGCGCCGCGTACCGAACCGCAAACGGCCACAGAAAATGGGGGGCAGCCGCATGCATCATGGACGTACGAGCGACGTCCATGACCATGCCAATGCGGCGCTCAGCAATCCCATTTTGCTGTGGAGAGTCCGGAAGCGTAAAGGTCTGGCGGATGCCTCGTGCACGACAGTAGGCTCGCAGAAGGCCAGAGGAGAACTCTCCACCTCGGTCAGAGTGCAGACGCAGAACAGGAAAGTCCGAGCCGAAGCTCCTCCTGAGCTGGAGACGAGCTGCGCGGATCCAGTCGATCAACACCTCAGTGACATCACCCTTGCTGCGCAAGGGGAAGACTGTGGTGTAACGCGAGTAGTCGTCAACCACCAGCAGGAAGTAGCGCTCGTGACCCTGCCCACGGACGCGGGCCGGGCCCCACACGTCCATGTGAAGCGTCTGCAGAGGAGCCTCTGTCGGGG